TTTTGATGGTGGGTATAAAAAAACAACTTACTAAACAACTTTTTTGTAAGAGAAATTTTTAGTACTTCTTTAACTCCCTATTTGTAAGCGATAATGACAAATACTTAAATGGCTTAAAACGCTAATGAGGAAGTAGTGAAAAGAGGATTTATTAGCTTTTTAACTCATTACATTTCAATGTAAGTTTTTCCTGGGAAGCATAAGTCTGTGCAATTAAAAGTAATATGGCGAAGCAGAATTGACAAATCTTACCATCCAATAAATAAACTTAGGTTGTAGCGAACTTTTTATACCCACCACCAAAAAAGATGGGGGGTATATTGAATTTGTCATTCCGTTTGTAACACATCGAAATATTGGTCATAGACCCACAAAAGTATATATATTCTGGGTCCTCATTAAATTCTAAGACGATCTAGCCATGTCTGTCCGTCTGTCTGTCTGTTGAAAGCACGATAGAGTCCCAATGGAAAGAGCTAGAGGGTTGAAATTTCACATAAATATTTCTTATAGGTAAGGTTTGTTTGGTATTGAAAATGGGCAATATCGGTCCACGTTTTCGGATAGCCCCCATACAAGTGGCCCCTCGAAAAGCAGCTTTAACAGCCATAACCTGTTTAAAAATACGAATATAGCGATGAAATTCGACATAAGTAAGTTTCATACAAGTCAAAATCTATCTAAAAAATTTTATGAGGATCGGTCCATGATTGACCTTACCCCCCATATAAGGTCCCCTTCAGAAAATGACCTTCGACACAAACAAATTTAATACGAACCAAATTCTGTCTACAAAATTTTATGAAGATCGACCCATAATTGACCCTTCCACCCTATATAAGGTTTGATGGTGGGTATATAAGATTCGGCATGGCCGTATATAACACTCTTACTTGTTTTATATCATATTTCTATTACTTTTGTAAGTATTTGTTATTTATTAAGATCATATTTATATAGACAATTCCAATGATTTTTAATTGGTATGAGAAGGAGAAACCTCCCTGTCTTCCAAACAATTTTCCTTTTCTTTAACTTTAATAGTTTCCTTATAAATTTCACTTTACTTTAAGTGGCATTTACAATTAATTTTTCACTTTAGAAGCTCACACTTATAAACAACCACATCCTTATTATTTGTTTCAACACCTACACAATATAGATACAATTATATACAAACATACATGTATAGAAATGTTTGTGTGTATGTGTGAATGTGTTTGTATTTTTGGCATTCAATCATACTCAACACTCATACAGGTTTGTTGTAACCATAAACCCTTCAAAAGGTTAACCATTAGCTGACGGAAGTGTTTGATTGCTATGGCAAAACTATACTTCTACGTTACAATACAAAAAAAGTCAGGAAAAACAACAACAACAACGATAACATAATACGAATAGAAATTATTTTGTTGTTGTTAAATTTGTTCAATTCACAATGAGACAAAATTAATCGATTTTGGTTCCAAATTCAGGAAATAATTCTGACACACACACACATACATCATATACAGGAAGATTATTCATCAATAATGGAAATTTTTGGAATCTAAATTAATTTTTATTTTAAATCGTTTAAATAAATAAGCATAAAAATACATTAGCGTTACAATTACATACATGTGTATGCTAAGTTTTCAATAAACTATTCTTTCTAATTTTGCAGATTCGGTTCGCGTGGTCCTAAGTTCTTATTTAGAGCAATCATAGTTCATTTCAAAATTAATTTGAAATTTTAATATCACTTTGAAATATTTATAGATTTACAATCCGTGACACTCTTTTAGTTTTTTTAAAGGAGATTTAATAAAAGTCCAAATGATTTAGACAAAGTTTCATTTAAAAATAAAATTTTATTTTTTTTTTTATATTTTAGCCCAATGTGCATCGTTTGTACGACTACAAAACATTGGCAATTTTCAGAAATCCATGTAAGCGTTATTTCCTTCCTACAAGTACATGCCTGAACAAAACCTCGCAAAATTCTAGAATAGTAGTTGTGTACTTTTTCACGTAAAGAAAATTATCAGTAAACTTACGTTGTACACGAAACAACGTTTATAAATTCAAATATGTATATGTATGTACATATGAATGTAAGTTAATACATGTTCTAATACATTCCAAAGTAATTTCAGTTTGCAATAAGTATGTACAGAGATGAGTACATTAAAGGGGTAACTCCTTTCTTTGGAATTGTTTTTTTTTCTGAAATTTTCAATTTCAATTTTTACTTTCATTAGCAAATTAAGAAATTTTTCAAAATGAACATATCTTAAATTTTTTTTCCTTAGAAACGGAAACACCCTAATGTTTGCTGTTTAAGAAGAAAAGAAACATATGGCTAAAATACCTATACATTTTCCTGCAAATATACAAACACATACATGTTTTTTTTTCGTTGCTTTACAAAATTTTCTTTAGACTTGTATGTGTTGACAAATTAACGTTACGTGTTCAAAACTTTAGGATTTTTTTCAATAAGTAATTTTATATCATTCACACAGAGACGCACATATACTACTATTATATATACGCACATGAGGAAGCTTATAAATCTATTCGCTAGTAGTAGGTTGTTCTTTAATGTGGGTAATAAAAGTAACTTAAAGTTTTTTCCTAATACTTAAATAGAAATTTAATATTTGTTCTGTGTAATATTTTGCCATTTTATAATATGTATTAGTTGGTAGAAGAAATAATTTTCCGAAATAGCTGGAAAAATAAGTTTATCTTTTACTTAAATTCAAAAGTGCTTTAGAAGTTAACGTCTATTTTAAGGAAAACTAAGTTAAAAACAAATAATAGTGCCCTATATCTTCATATAAAATCCAAAAAGCCTTGTTACAAATTTTCAACATTATCTCAAGTTAAGCTTATCATTTGTTTTACTTACCGAGATATGAAACTTACGCCCTTGAGAATTAGTTTTTTCTGAAACCCAAAAGGGTATAAGTTACATTGAAAATAAGTAGGAAAGTATAGTCGGTCATGGCGACTATATGATATCCTGCACCGTGGGTATATATTAAATATTATTTAATTTTCATAAATTTCCGATCTTAATTCCGATGTATTTAAGAAATTTATCGATGAAAAGCAAAATGTATTAAAGAGGCTTTATATGGGAGTTAGGGTCAAATAAGGGCCGATCCTCAACAAATTGGAAAGAGGTATGTATTTTTATATGAAGGTCAATTATGGTGAATTTCATCGCGATACTAATGTATAACCATTATTGGACGTTTAAGATATTTTTCAAAGGGTGGTTTATATGGGGGCTAGGGTCAATCAACGACCGTAATGGTCATTTATGTGTTTATATAAAACTTAGTTCTACCAATTTTTGATGAAATAGTAGTATATTTGACGTAGTTATGAGTTAAAAACCCCAAATTGAAAGGTCAGTTTTTATGGGAGCTAGGTAAAATAATGGATCGATTTCAACCATTTTCAATAAGTCCTTGTGCCGAGAAACTCCTATGGTCCAAATTTTATTAAAATATCATGAAAATTGTGGCCTGTAGCTTGCACACAATGTTTATATGGACATCCAGCCAGCCAGTCAGACAGACGGACGGATATGTCTGAGTGGATCAGTATACTTTAAGGTGGGTGTAGGACCAATATTTTCATGCGTTACAAACATCAGCACAAACGCATAATATCCCCACTATAGTGATGTAGGGTATAACTAGTAAGATTCAGATTCAACTAAATTTAAATCAGATCTTGTGACACAAACAGGACGAAATTTGGCAGGAATAAAGCATTTTTATTTTCACAAAGATTTTCGAAAAGTAGAAATTTTCTTTGAAGAGGTTCCAAAGTTGTTTAAATAACCTTTAAATCACACTTAATCACAACTTACGACATTTTACAATTTCGATGTTAAAAATTCAAAAAAATTTTAAAATTTTTATGAATTTTAAGGTCATTTTAGAACAAAATCTTTTAGAATTCCGTTAATAGGGATGTTATTTTTTAATAGTATGAAACTTGTTTTCCAAAATATGGAGTAAAAAGATCAAAATTTGAAAAACTTGTGTGTTATATGACTTTTTGATTTCCATTTTCTGAATCATCAAACCAAATATTACTGGTGTGTTATTTTTCAATAACGATTCACAAACATTTAAAGGATATTCTGTGAGAGTGTTCATATGGCGGTTATCAATAGACAATTATTGTGGAAACTTTCACGGATTACGGAAATGAAGAATTTTATTAATTATTAATACCTTAAAATAAATTCAATTAAACTTTTCAACCATATAAAGTGTGATATTTAGTAAAGCTTTAAGAAAACCGGAGAACTTTTGCTACTATTTACAATTTAAATAGCTTTTCATACACATACATAAAATTTAAGAACATTTGTTTGAATACATGTTTGTGTGTGTACAAACAAACATCCTTTTTCCTTGTATGCCTTCATAAATTTCATGACATGTTATTTAACTATTAATCATATTTTCTCTATCGTTAATTAACAATTAATAACAATTTTGAAACTGTAAAATTTATCGTCTGTCATTTTATAACACAAGTTTTATATGAAAAAAAATTCCAATCAAGAAACCTAGTAGTTTTATAAGAAGGAACAGTAGAAGTAACCATCATGAAGTCAATTGTATATTTGTTATCAAAGTGAAGTATGGTTGTAAACTTATATCCTGAATATAATTAAAACGATAGGCATAAAAAGTTATTATATACCTATGTTGATAAAAATATAATTTGTAGTTAATATTACGATATCGGGATAACCACTACGAATTGCAGGGACATACAAACATTATATCTATGGATGTGTGATATTCTTAACATTTATGAACACATATATTTTCAACACTTCAATGAATACCCTTTGCCTTCTCTACGTTTAAAACAGTTTAGTAGGTTTAAAGAAAATTTATATTTCAAAACAAAAACGAAAGTATGGTTTCATTTGGATTTTATGGTTTTTATTTTTTTGTTATTTATTTCTTACTTACCGGTATATTATTTATGGTAAATCTTAATTCTGCCCTAGGTCTGGATGGTGGTGTACTACAGTTAGCACGCAACACATCACCCGGCTCATAGCGTGTAAGCTCCGTAAATAGTTGTGGTCGTTTATCAGGAAATTCTGCAAAGAACACGAAAATATATAAATGTGGTATAAAAATTTATTTGTTCCGTGGTTTCTATTTATTTTTTTTTATAAACGCAATAAGTCATAATTGTTGATTGTATTTGAAATATGTATAAAAAACAAAAATATTATTTGACAAAGAGTAGCTTGATATTGGCGTTAGAATTTTGCGAATTATAACACCTTTTTTTACTATGGCTTATAAATTTAAAATGTTTTATAATATATTGCCCAGATTACAGAGTTTGACTGCTAAAATATAATTTTGTTTGGAAGTTTGAGTAGGGTTAACAATATATTTTATGACACAATTTCGCTAAGAACAAGTAAGAGTGTTATATTCGGCTATGCCGAATCTTATATACCCACCATCAAATCACTGCCATATAAATAAACTTTGATATTTTGAATATTTTATTATTATGCATCGATTGTAATGAGAACATCATTGCAATATTTGAAAGAGGTCCATAAAACTATATCAAATTTCATCGCTTTACTCGTTTTTTAGGCCAGTAATGAGCGTTAAAGTAATTTTCGGTTAGGGACCTTATATGCGGGACTATATTTAAGGCCCGATCCACATAACATTTGGTAGAAAGGTTTTGGCTCCTAAGATACTTATTTATGTCAAATTTCTTCGCTATACTCGTATTTTTACGCCAATAATGAGAGAGATAGGGCCAATTGTGGTCCTATGTCCGACATAATTCAGAATTTTATTTCGGAGGTAAAAAAACTTATGCGAAATTTTGTGCCATTTGCTTCATAAACAACGAATTTGTGAATGATTGAAGCTCTTCTATTTCATGTCAATATCTCTTTTTTGTGGACGCTATCGTGCCAACAACAGACAGACGGACGGACATAGCTAGATCGTCTTAGAATCTTACGAGGTCCCAGAATATGTATACTTTATGGGGTCTGTAAACAATATTTCGATGTGTTACACACGGAATGACAAAATCAATATACCCCCATCTTTTTTGATGGTGGGTATAAAGATTCCTGCAGTTCATAGTACGTACTTACAGAATGTTTTTTAACTAATTTGTAAAAAATTTTATTAAAATTTGCTGCATATTTAAGAAACACTTTTTAAACTATATTCCGAGGGGACATAGAGAGCTTGGTTAAATCAAGTAGCTATGTTGCACAGTGGTATAGGAAAAAAAAAAGAGGGAAATAATTCGGTAACTTCTAAACGGTTAATCCGATTTTAATGAAATTTGGTATGCACAAAGAGGAGGTGTTGTCGAGTTTAGGTTTTGAATTTGGACCTTATAGGCCAACCAGGGGCCCGGCGGGGGGTCCTCAAATTAGGACACTTCGGCTATGTTAAATTTTTAAAACGATCCTATTTCTTCATTTGAGTTCCGATTTAAAAAAAATTTCGTATATAGAATCTCCTCATCGAGCACTATAAAAAATGTTGTCGTAGCAGTAAATTATCTCTTATAGTTTAGGAGATATTCGCATTTGAATATTAAAATTTTAAAATTTTTACCGTCCTTACTTTAGTTTTTTTGATAATAGCAGGTCCAAATATTTCCGATTTTCGCCATTTTTTTTTATTTGCTTAACAACAAGTTTATATACCAAGCAGTGAAAGAATTATGTAAAAATCATGACTGAGTCCAAAGTTATAGGCATTTAAATTTAAAAAATTAAAAAAAGGCGATTTTTTGTCATTTTTTTGGGAAAAAAGTATCTTTTTCTTTTTAAGTTATCTAAAAAGTTTCTAAGAAGATGTATATAGAATTTATACTTTTTGGAAAGCTGACTTTACATAAAATACGATAAATGAAACAAAACCTAAAAATTTTTGATACCGAGGGGACCAGGTCCATCCAAAAAAACCCTATTTTTTATGGAAAATTAAATTTTGAGCAAAAATTCTCAAATCGCATAGTCGATATCAAATTATAGTGACCTGTTTTATATGACCCAATAAGTTCTTAATCATTTTGTAACGGGTTTCGATAACCCCGCCCCTGGTATGGATATAATAGGCAAAAAACCAAAAAATCCCATTTTTGGGATTTTTTAAAACTTTTTTGGGAATTCCGGGATTTCTAATAAGAAAATTCGAAATTTTTATTTAATTTTGGATTTTGAGTAAAAAAATCTACCTAACTGTAAAATTTCATCAAAAAATATTCATAAATAAAATTTTTATTGCAATTTGAAAAATTTGTATCTTCGCAAAAACTGAATAAAAAACATTTTTTAATTTTTTTTAAAAAAAGTATTCCGCGAATTTTTTAATTTTCAAAAATTTTATACAGTTTTGAAAAATAGACAAAATTACCTTTCCATTGATATATAACATGCCTACCTAATGTTTTTTAAGTGACAAATTAATTAGGGAAAACTCAACATCTTTTAGAAAATTTACCTAGCACTATTATTTTCATCCATATATGTAACAAATTTAAGAGTTAACCTTATGGATGAAAATAATAGTGCTAGGCAAATTTTCTAAAAGATGTTGAGTTTTCCCTAATTAATTTGTCACTTAAAAAACATTAGGTAGGCATGTTATATATCAATGGAAAGGTAATTTTGTCTATTTTTCAAAACTGTATATAATTTTTGAAAATTAAAAAATTCGCGGAATACTTTTTTTAAAAAAAATTAAAAAATGTTTTTTATTCAGTTTTTGCGAAGATACAAATTTTTCTAATTGCAATAAAAATTTTATTTATGAATATTTTTTGATGAAATTTTACAGTTAGGTAGATTTTTTTACTTAAAATCCAAAATTAAATCAAAATTTCGAATTTTCTTATTAGAAATCCCGGAATTCCCAAAAAAGTTTTAAAAAATCCCAAAAATGGGATTTTTTAGTTTTTTGCCTATTATATCCATACCAGGGGCGGGGTTATCGAAACCCGTTACAAAATGATTAAGAACATATTGGGTCATATAAAACAGGTCACTATAATTTGATATCGACTATGCGATTTGAGAATTTTTGCTCAAAATTTAATTTTCCATAAAAAATAGGGTTTTTTTGGATGGACCTGGTCCCCTCGGTATCAAAAATTTTTAGGTTTTGTTTCATTTATCGTACTTTATGTAAAGTCAGCTTTCCAAAAAGTATAAATTCTATATACATCTTCTTAGAAACTTTTTAGATAACTTAAAAAGAAAAAGATACTTTTTTCCCAAAAAAATGACAAAAAATCGCCTTTTTTTAATTTTTTAAATTAAAATGCCTATAACTTTGGACTCAGTCATGATTTTTACATAATTCTTTCACTGCTTGATATATAAACTTGTTGTTAAGCGAATAAAACAAAATGGCGAAAATCGGGAATATTTGGACCTGCTATTATCAAAAAAAACTAAAGTAAGGACGGTAAAAATTTTAAAATTTTAATTTTTAAATGCGAATATCTCCTAAACTATAAGAGATAATTTACTGCTATGACAACATTTTTTATAGTGCTCGATGAGGAGATTCTATATACGAAATTTTTTTTAAATCGGAACTCAAATGAAGAAATAGGATCGTTTTAAAAATTTAACATAGCCGAGGTGTCCTAATTTGATGACCCCCCGCCGGGCCCCTGGTTGGCCTATAAGGTCCAAATTCAAAACCTAAACTCGACAACACCTCCTCTTTGTGCACACCAAATTTCATTAAAATCGGATTAACCGTTTAGAAGTTACCGAATTATTTCCCTCTTTTTTTTTTCCTATACCACTGTGTGTTGTCCATTTTATTATGGTTTTCATGATACAGATATAAGAACGGACTCTAAAAAAAATGCTCAATATCTGTTTTACGATACATTTATATATAGGAACAATACATTGTAAAATATTTGGTGTTATTTTTAGTTTATTCTGTCAGGATCAAAATATGTCCAAAATGTCTTTCGAAAATTTGTTCATAAAATAATATTGAAAACGAAAATAAATATTAAGGATACAAATTTTAAAAGATATTTTTAACATATTTATACCCTACACCACTTTAGTGGGGATGGTATATTGGGTTTGTGCTGATGTTTGTAACATACAATCGGCTTTGAATCTGAGTCGATTAAGCTATGTCCGTCTGGCTGGCTGTCCATGTAAACCTTGTGCGCAAGGTACAGCAATTTTCAAAATAATTAGATGAAAATTGGCACACACGCTTTTTTTGGCCCAAGGACGAAACCTATTGAAAATGGTTAAAATCGGTTCATTATTTCACCTAGCCCCCATACAACAGAACCCCCCGAAAAGGGCTTCTGAGCTCATAATTATGTTAAATATACCTATACAACTAAGTTTTATATAAGCCTTGATGACCTTGCCATTTCATAAAGATCGGCCTTTATTTGACCCTGTCCAAAATTAACTTATAAACACAAATATCGCGATGAAATTGAGCACAAATAAATATTATATAAATATATTTACAAAACTTTATCGGCCTTGGTTCATATTTGACCCTAGCCCCCATAAAGCCTCTTTTAGAAAATTAGTTTTTCATCCATAAGTGTATCGGAACAAGTTAATATTGAAGATAAATGCTTTATTATGAAAAATAAATCACATTCAATATTTATAACTGGTGTAGGTTATCATATGGTCGGTCACACCCGACTATACTTTCTTACTTGTTTTATCTTTATAGTATGAAATAATACAAAATATTTCCCAACTCTTCTTGTTCTCTTGACATTAAATTTGACATTATTTGATCAGTAGAAGTATTTTAAAATATTCACGAATATTCACTAAATGTAAAACTAAAATGCAGTTTTTCTCCGGTTCCTGTATTATAAGAGAAGTCACCAGATTTCGTTCAATGTGAAATTTTATCAATTTAAACATTTATTAAAATAGACCCATTGTGCTGTGGACTGCCATTTCGGGGCTATAAAATATGCCCTATGTCATCTCTTATGTTTCTCTAACTTGTGTTCTATATAATGCATCACCATAAAAGTATGGGTATGTGTTTTGTATTGTGTTTTTTGTTTTCTTCTCTTACA